ATAAAGTATAATATTGGGAACATTGATCTGAAGAGAGTGTCGTCGTGTTACTGTCGCAACCGAACGCGACGCGCTAATGCTGATGCATGGAGAATGACTGAGGCGAGATGACTTTCCGTTAACTTTAAACTTAGAGACTAAATATTAATTTACCACACATTAAGCTATTGAATGACTTTAGAAGTCTTGAATATAGTGTGAAAACTTGATTGTGCTTTACAGTTTTTTATGCCTTTAGTGGGGCTTAACAAAATAACACAATATGCAGAATTGTCGGACGTCACTTATAGGCTAAACTGTTTTTATAGATAAACTATTTACATTCGGCAGTCATGAAAACAAATCTCAGATAAACGGTTGACTAGGTAACAATGTGTAATTTTGCGCCGGAGTTCTCCTTTAACTTACATTAGCTAGCTAACTACGAACGAGCTAACCAGATAACATTAACAAATTGACAAGCACTTACAGGCAGGCTCTTCAAATGACGACGAAATTGGAGGTTGTCATCTGACTGTCCGCGATCTTAACGTTGCATGTCTTGCAAAGCGCTGTTCTTTTGCCATCTTGTTGTAAGAAATTCTTGAATCCGAAAGCGACCCTCGGTATCCCTCCGGCTGACTTTGATGTGATCTGATGTAAGTGGGCGTGGTGTGCGCGTAAGGTATGAGAGGGCATGACTGATGATCTCTGATCCAGTCATGACAGCGCTATTCTCAGCCTGCGCTCCAGCTGGATCAACTTTATTTTTTTTACATAATTTATATATTTTATATTCAAACTGAAAACATGATGTGATTAACACTCAAGTCATATTATTACATGCAAGTGTGTTTGATTATGGAACCAAATTTTCAGATCAAGTTTATGGACAAGTTAATTTAATTAATAAACTAATTATATAAAACTATTAATGCACTACAATTAAAACTGGTTATATGCCTTTACTTATAAAAAATAAAAAACTTATTTAAAAAAAATACCAAGGCTTAAGGCATTTATTTTTTATGCAGGCCATACACACAGGAGTGAAATGGTAAGACCCCTCCCCCTACAAACACACACACATACACAGACAGGCAAAGACAGCAGGCTCAGATTGAGCAAGACCACATTCAAACAAACATATCTGACTTTCTGTGGGTCCTAGCTAATGAGTGTCAATTAGAAAGTTGTGCCGGCTCGGGAGTACAATATACATACCGATTTTTGTAACTGTAGATAAAACTAACAACCCACTTTTGTCAAAAGGTGGCGCTACTGAGCCCTCACCACGCCCGTTTATGAAACTTGCACGTGTCTACTGGCTAATAAATGTGATGATGTCTGTCGAGTTTCATGCATTTTGAAGCATGCTAAAGGTCTCAAAAGCATCCTAAAAGCATCCTAAAAGAAGGGTAAAGTTTGATGCGTCGCCCACGGCAACAGTTTCAAAGATATCAAGAATCCATTCACAGGTCTACATCTGCCGTATGTTTACATTATAATATGAAGTTTGAAGCAAATCGGGTAAAAATAAAAGGTGATATCAAAGCATTTTTAAAAGTGACACACTTCCTGCTGCCAGTTGGTGGCGCTATAACTTTGACTCACAATAGTCACATCCATGTGATCGTCCTCTTACAGCGAACATACTGCTGAAGTTTCATCAAGATCAGTTAATGTATGCTGAAGTTATAACAAACTTCCTGTTTCACGTTTCTCGCTATGATTTCGTTTCCTCGCCACGGCCAAACCGTTCGAGATATCAAAAATCCCCACACAAGCTTTCATCCTCAATGTCTTCACTTTACGCTGACCGAGTATCGTCGAATTTGGATCAAAGCTCTAGGAGGAGTATTTCAAATAACCATTGCGAGCGTTTTACAAACAAACCTCAATAGCCGACTTCCTGTTGGGCTGGGTAAAAAGTAAAAGCGCGAGTATAGATGAAACGATGAGATCAACATGCGTCCCGAGTTTCATTATTATTACATGCAAGCGTGTTTGAGTTATGGACCAAGTGTTCGGACCCCATTCCAGGGGCGCTGACGAGCCCCCCTGCCACGCCCGGGTACCATCTTCAGCCCGGCTCTGATGGCCGCGGGTTCTGACCCGTGTGCAAAGTTTCAAGAGTTTTCGAGCATGTTAAGGGCCCCAAAAGTGCCCGAATAGTCGTAAGAAAAATAATAATAATAATAAAATAATAATAGAAAGAATAATCCTAAGGAAAACAATAGGGCCTTCGCCCTTTCAGGGCTTGGGCCCTAATAATAATAATCCTAAGGAAAACAATAGGGCCTTCGCCTTTCAGGCTTGGCCCTAATAATCCTAAGGAAAACAATAGGGCCTTCGCCCTTTCAGGGCTTGGGCCCTAATAATCGTTAGGAAAACAATAGGGCCTTCGCCCTTTCAGGGCTTGGCCCTAAAATATTTAATTATTATTAAAAAATAATAAAGCCGCCTTTTGACTGATAAATTTACCGGTACGTGACTTTCCCGTATGGTTGATCACTGCATTTAGATTTTTTTAATAGAGATTGCAGTATTTTTGATCTGATCAAAATAATAATAATAATAAAAAAGTATATTAACTAAAGAATTATTATTTTAGTTTATTAGTTATTATTAGTCTATTAGTTTTCCATGACTTTGTATTTTAATATTATGGAAATTAAAATCTTATCATTTAAAAAAAAAAAAAATAGTTACTTGCCATTGGTTCAGTAAAAAATCAATTTTGTAATGTTCCTAACAAAGTTAATCAAACCAAATGATATTCTGACTCTGACATAAATCGCATAATATTAAAGAAATGTAATACTTACAACCAAAAAACCTAGATGTCAAATTGTTTTTTTAAGCAGTTTAACAAAGAAAGTTAGCCTAACCTTACCAACAGCATCCCATAAGGAATTATTTTCTATTTTCTAACCAAAATATATTTGAAATATATACTAAATGTGTTGTAACAGTGCAGCTCACTGTGCAGTAAATATATTTAGTTTCAACCTTCATAAACCAAAATATATTTCAAAATGTATTTGAGGGGCAAGAATACATTTCTAATCTTACAATAGCCTATATTTATGCTAAATGCAAATGTAGATGGAATAGCCTACTAGAGATCAAACGATCAAAAAAGATTTCTAATTTAATAATGAAAAAAAAGCAATATATTGTATATATACACATATTAAATCATTAGAATTTGTACAAATATATGCAGATATAATCCTAGTTGTCAGGCTTGGCTACAGTGATGTCCCTGAACACGAATGAATATCCTCAGCAGTGCTGTCAGCAGTCTCTGTGATCTGCACAGCCTATCTCTGACTGCACCATCCTGCAGAGAAGGAGCGCCTCACACCATGTGTGTCCAGATAATAGCACAGCTCAGCAAGCCTGAAGCTAACGCACCAAAGATTCTGTCTAAAAGCGTTCAACTATTTTTAACATCAATCCCCTACATGCACTGATAAATAAAACATTTTTTGTTGTTGTTTTGTTGTCGTCTTTACAAAAAGCTCTATTCAATGTTGCTGAATATATTAGGGACAACACAGTGCAGCCCATAAACCACACACAGAGGGCGGTCGGCGCAAACACACGTTTAACAAGCTTGATCAGCATAATGATTCATCAGGAAGTAGTTTAATGGGGTGCTGTGCAGACTTACCCAGGAGGGGAAATAAGCTTCTGGCTGAAAATAGGCACCAAAGTGTTTGTTCCGTTTGAAGTTTCCCAGGTCAGCCTGCAGCGCAAATGCAGCCAGAAGGAAATAAGCCTCTTCTCTCTGGATGCACTGAGACTGCAGTACCTGCTTCCGCAATTGCCAGTAGTAATAATACCGTGCCATGCGATCGCTAAAACAGATATAGAACGCATATAGAACACATTCAGTCATTTTCAAATTGTAATTTTGAATGTATACACTACCGTTTAAAAGTTTGGGGTCAGTGTGATTTATGCTTTTGAAAGAAGTCTTTTATGTTCACCAAGGCTCCATTTATTTGACCAAAAATACAGTAAGCATTACAATACATTTTTTTTATTTAAATTGTAATATATTATAAAATGTCATTTATTACTGTGATGGTAAAGCTGAATTTTCAGCATCATTATTCCAATCATCAGTGTCACATGATCCCTCAGAAATCATTCTAAATTCCTGATTTGGTGCTTAAAAACATTTCTTAATATCATCAATGTTGTAATATTTTTGTGGAAACCTTCATACTTTTTCCCAGAATTCTTTGATGAATAGGGCTGTCAAACGATTAATCGCGATTAATCGCATCCAAAATAAATAATTGTGTTTACATAATATATGTGGGTGCACTGTATAATTATTTTATATATATATATATATATATATATATATATATATATAAAATACACACACATGCTTGTATATATTTAATAAATATTTTTCATGTATATACTGTATGTAGATTTATATATAATTATATTATATAGAAATATAAATATTTTATATATAAATAATATTTTTTTCTTAAATATTCATGCAAGTGTGTGTATTTTTATACAGTATATACAAAATAATTATACACAGTGTACCCACATATATTATGTAAACACAAACTTTTATTTTGGATGCAATTGATCGCGATTAATCGTTTGACAGCCCGATTGATGAAATTGAAAGTTTAAAAGAATATATTTTATTTCTTTTGTAACAATGTATTTGCTGTCACTTTGGATCAATGAAATGCATTCTTGCTGAATAAGAGTACTAAAGGAATCTTACTGACCCCAAGCATTTGAACAGTAGTGTAGATGTGTAGATGTCTCACCTGATAAGTCTTCCATTTTCAACATAATACTGTGCTCTGAAGTGAACAATCATTGGAGGTCCAAACTGGTCAATTCCCTGCAGTTGGTAAGAACTCTGTCAAAGTGTGCAACAACAACAAAAATTTTCTCCTAAGAACATCAAACTCTGTTTGCATGATACCTTGCTGGCTTCCCGTTTCCACTCTTTTGGACAATATTTTGACAGTTTCTGTCCCAGTTCCATATATATATGTTCATTATCTAGGAGAAAAGCACACTTAAAATACACAGAAATGCACACGCATTTAAGACTTTAATGTTTGTGTATATATGTACTGGATACTGTGGGAAAATAACAAACATCCAGTAATTAACTACAACAAAATAAACCATGACAGGGTGATTGAGACCCCAATGCAAAGTAAAAAAAAAAAAAAATGCAATAAAACTGGCAAACCATATATTATGCCAGAAATTTCAAAAATAAAGGAATAAATGGACAAAAAATTTGAGTATTTGATATTTATAGATATATATATTTATAGATATATTATATATATTTATACAAACCCCAATTCCATAAAAGTTGGGACACTGTACAAATTGTGAATAAAAACAGAATGCAATGATGTGGAAGTTTCAAATTTTAGTATTATATTTAGAATACAACATAGATCACATATCAAATGTTGAAAGTGAGACATGTTGAATTGCCATGCCAAATATTGGCTCCTTTTGGATTTCATGAGAGGTACAAATTCCAAAAAAGTTGGGACAGGTAGCAATAGAGAGGCCAGAAAAGTTAAATGTACATATAAGGAACACCTGGAGGACCAATTTACAACTTATTAGGTCAATTGGCAACATGATTGGGTATAAAAAGAGCCTCTCAGAGTGGCAGTGTCTCTCAGAAGTCAAGATGGGCAGAGGATCACCAATTCCCCAATGCTGAGGCAAAAAAATAGTGGAGGAATATCAGAAAGGAGTTTCTCAGAGAAAAATTGCAAAGAGTTTGAAGTTATCATCATCAACAGTGCATAATATCATCCAAAGATTCAGAGAATCAGGAACAATCTCTGTGCATAAGGGTCTGAATGCCCGTGATCTTCGGGCCCTTAGACGGCACTGCATCACACACAGGAATGCTACTGTAATGGAAATCACAACATGGGCTCAAGAATACTTCCAGAAACCATTATCAGTGAACACAATCCACTGTGCCATTCACCGTTGCCGGCTAAAACTCTATAGGTCAAAAAAGAAGCCATATCTAAACGGGAACCAGAAGCACAGGCGTTTTCTCTGGGCAAGGCTCATTTAAAGTGGACTCTAGCAAAGTGGAAAACTGTTCTGTGGTCAGAATCAAAAATTGAAGTTCTTTTTGGAAAACTGGGACGCCATGTCATCCGGACTAAAGTCGGACTCAGTTCAGAAGCCTGCATCTCTGATGGTATGGGGTTGCATAAGTGCGTGTGGCATGGGCAGCTTACACATCTGGAAAGGCACCATCAATGCTGAAAGGTATATCCAAGTTCTAGAACAACATATGCTCCCATCCAGACATCGTCTCTTTCAGGGAAGACCTTGTATTTTCCAACAAGACAATGCCAAACACACATACTGCATCAATTACAACATCATGGCTGCGTAGAAGAAGGATCCGGGTACTGAAATGGCCAGCCTGCAGTCCAGATCTTTCACCCATAGAAAACATTTGGCGCATCATAAAGAGGAAGATGCAACAAAGAAGACCTAAGACAGTTGAGCAGCTAGAAGCCTTTATTAGACAAGAATGGGACAACATTCCTATTCCTAAACTTGAGCAACTTGTCTCTTCCAGTCCCAGACGTTTGCAGACTGTTATTAAAAGAAGAGGGGATGCCACACAGTGGTAAAAATGGCCTTGTCCCAACTTTTTTGAGATGTGTTGATGCCATGAAATTTAAAAATCAACTTATTTTTCCCTTAAAAATATGCATTTTCTCAGTTTAAACATTTGATATGTCATCTATGTTGTATTCTAAATATAATATTGAAATTTGAAACTTCCACATCATTGCATTCTGTTTTTATTCACAATTTGTACAGTGTCCCAACTTTTATGGAATTGGGTTTGTAGATATTTATTAAATATTTGAGTCGAAATGGTATTATCATGAGAATTAAAGACAACACAAAGTGATACAATAGACCTGAAACGCTAAGCATGGCAATATCCATGAGGAAAACAGTTCATAAATCATAAGCGTGTGTGTGCGTGTGTGTGTGTGTGTGTGTGTGTGTGTGTGTGTGTGTGTGTGTGTGTGTGCGTGTGCGTGTGTCTTACTCTGAATAACACTGAGGCCAAACAGATGACAGTCCTTCAATCTAAGCAGATCACAGACCTGCACCAACAACTCCTGACACACAGTCTTAACCTGAGAGAGAAGAACAAAGAAAGTAAGAGAGATGACCTTTATTACCGAGAAAAAGGATATAGTGTGTGTTTTTAAGTTGTGGAACAGGTTTAACTTTTCAATGAAATTTTATTCATATTATTTTGATGTCGGTAATAGTACTAAAAAACAGCTTCTCAAACTCAATCAAAACATGAAATTACTCAACAAAAATAGATCTCTATTTTTACAACATTTAATAGTGATCCGGAAGAGCTCAAGATGCTTCTTGTGGGATGCAACATCAGAGCGGGACTCTAAATGACATGTTTAGAGCAGTTGTCTATCAAAAACAATCTTTGTATATGATTAAAATAAGTGCTACTTTTTATGAAATCATGGGAGAATCTGTGCTTTACGAGCAATCACCAATAGGGTGTGTGTGTCATTAGCCGCGTTTCCACTGCCGGGCTAGGGCTGGGCCAGAGCTAACAGCGAGCCGGGCCGAGCTAGTGGCCTCGGGCCTCAAGCACCGGGCTTGCGTTTCCACTGCCGGGCCAGTAGCCCCACAGCGCTGCCCCAGACCCCACCCCTAACACGCCTTTCAGGATCAAACGTCATAAAACCCAACCCATTTCAGCGGGTATTATGAATTAATTTATTTTTTAAATTAGGAAGATAGCATGTACAGTGGTGGAAATAAGTATTTGACCCCTTGCTGATTTTGCAGGTTTGCCCACTTACAAAGAATGCAACGATCTATAATTTTAATCATATGTACATTCTAACAGTGAAAGACAGAATCCAAAAGAAAATTCCAGAAAATCACATCATATGAATTTATTAAAATTGATAACCATCTAATGAGGAAAAACAAGTATTTGACCCCCTACCAAACAGCATGTTAATATTTTGTAGAAAAGCCATTATTGGCCAGCACAGATGTCAAACGCTTTTTATAGTTGGTGACAAGGTTTGTGCACATTTCGGCAGGGATGTTGGCCCACTCCTCCCTGCAGACAGCCTCCAAATCTTTCAGGTTCCGAGGTTGTCGCCTGGCAACTCGAATTTTAAGCTCCCTCCAAAGATTTTCAATTGGATTCAGGTCTGGAGACTGGCTAGGCCACTCCAGAACCTTGATGTGCTTCTTCTTCAGCCACTCTTTTGTTGCTTTGGCGGTGTGCTTAGGGTCGTTGTCGTGCTGAAACACCCATCCTCGACCCATCTCTCACTGAGGGAAGGAGATGTTGGTCCAGAATTCCACGATACATGGCCCCGTCCATCCTCCCCTCAATACGATGGAGTTGTCCCGTCCCCTTGGCTGAAAAGCACCCCCAAAGCATGATGTTGCCACCACCATGCTTGACGGTAGGGATGGTGTTCTTTGGGTTGTACTCTGTGTTCTTTGCCCTCCAAACACGACGAGTTGAGTTGAGGCCAAAAAGTTCTATTTTGGTCTCATCTGACCACATCACCTTCTTCCAGGCCTCTTCTGAGTCGTCCAGGTGGTGAATGGCGAACTTCATGCGGGCCTGTACATGTTTCTTCTTGAGCAGGATTTCAATCCATGACGGCGTAGTGTGTTACCAACCGTTTCTTTTGTAACTGTGGTCCCAGCTGCCTTCAGTTGATTCATCAGTTCCCCCCTTGTGGTTTTGGGATGATTCCTCACCGTTCGCATGATCAGGGACACCCCACGAGGCGAGATCTTGTGTGGAGGCCCAGACCGAGGGAGGTTGGCGGTGGTGTGGTGCTTCTTCCATTTCCTTATAACTGCACCGACAGTTGATCTTTTCTCTCCAAGTTGCTTTCCGATTCTCTTGTAGCCCATCCCAGCCTTGTGCAGATCGACAATCTTGTCCCTGATGTCCGTAGAAAGCTCTTTGGTCTTGCCCATGGTAGTGAAGTTGGATGCTGGTTGTTTGTGAGTTGACAGGTGTCTTTTATACAGGTAATGAAGTGAGGCAGGTGTATTTGATGTAGATAATTGGTTGGGATTGAGGCTGTGTCTTAAAGAAAGACTAACTGGCTTGTAGGAGCCAGAATACTTGCTGTTTGGTAGGGGGTCAAATACTTGTTTTTCCTCATCAGATGGTTATCAATTTTTATAAATTTATATGATGTGATTTTCTGGAATTTTCTTTGGGATTCTGTCTTTCACTGTTAGAATGTACATATGATTAAAATTGTAGATTGTTGCATTCTTTGTAAGTGGGCAAACCTGCAAAATCAGCAAGGGTTCAAATACTTATTTCCCCCACTGTATATTAACTCAACTGCCGTAGTGGCTTCAATAGTGTCCCGAGACCAGTACAGGCGATTCTCCATTTCAAGCAGCGATTTTTTGCGCGATATAACAAGTAGGGCTGCGGGCACGTTTTCAAGTTATTCATTAATCGTTAACCGAGGCCCATCGGTTAATACTCGGTGCATAGTGTGCGCGCCGCAACCTCGAGATACAGAGTAAATTTTTAATACCTTTAATAACTGATTGGACCCATGCATTTGAAACGAAATTAATTTATAGAAATAAAATGCAGCAAGTACGGAGCAGTTAAAGCCGCATTTCCATCACCCTTCAAACTGAAATTGCCAATTGAAAATAAGCAAAACGTCCATTTCACAAAAACTCTTGAGTTAGTGTCTGCAAATAATAATAATAATAATAATAACCATCATCATCATTATTGTAACATTTTATTAGGCTGCATAGCCTATGTAGAAGACGTCTTTATCCAAAAAAGGAACAGAGCACAAATAAACACAATATTTTTGACAAATATCATCCAGTGTGTGTGGAGCACGCACTGATGGCTGCGAGACGCCCATGTGATTTCATTGCATTTCTTTCAGTGGAAACAACTTAAAATACTCTTTAATTTCTGGTCATACAGAAAATAATAATACATTATTCGCAAATAAATTTATTTATAACAAGAAAACGTTGTGCTTTAACAATTAATCAAGGCGCGCTTCATGATCTCCGTGAACTGAAGCGCGAGACCTGAAACAGCCACCGCATTCGAATTTGTTCGTTTTAAATTGGACATTTAAAGCTTTAGTCTACAGGGGTTATATCCTTTGTAGATTAAAGCTTTAAATGTCCAATTTAAAACGAACAAATTCGAATCGAAAGCCAATATCTTCTATGTTTATGTAGCTTAATTTCTCTCTAAATGTGCATCCGGAGATGGAGATATGTTTTTAGCCGAAAATCATTTAGAAAACAATAGTTTATTAATAAACAATTAATGCCTCGTTATTTTATATTATTTTATTATCAGACACATTTATTATAGCCTATAAATCACCCATAAATCCCCTTTCTGTAGGCTGTGGTTACGGCTCTTCTCATTCAGCACTGCGGGAAAATATCATTTCCAGGTTCTAATTTGGCCTCAGAAAACCAGTAATATATATATTTTTTTCATATTAATTTGTCAAATATTTTAAATGTTTAAGGGGCAAAAAAATCAAACAAATATCTGAAAATTCGTCGATATGTAGCCTATATATTTTTGCGCAGATTTTGGCATAGGCCTACAGTTCAAATTAAAATGTTATGCAATTTTAAACGGTTAATCGGTTAAACATGGACACCCCTGTGCATCTTGCTTCAGATAACCTTCTATAACACCGATAAACTCCGCCTTTTACCTTGAACACGCCTCTAGCCCGAGCTGGCCCCCTCTGGCCCAAGGTATTCGACGGGCCAGAAATCCTGGCCGTTGGCCCTGAGGAAGCCCCGATCAAGCCCCGGAAGTGACAGTGGAAACGCGACTGGCCCTGGCACGCACTAGCACGGCCCGGCCCTGGCCCGGCAGTGGAAACGCGGCTATTGAGTGCATGGAATTGTACTTACACTGACTATTACATTGAGTGTTTCATCATTCGGGAGGAACACACACACACACCGGCGGTCCTGCATCGTCTTGTTATTGTGGAAAGACAGTTTGCTCATGTTTGAGAGGCTGCAGCCTGTAGATTCGTGCCCCTCACTGGAGCTCCACCCCTGAGCACCTCCCAGTCACAACGGGATCAGATAATTGAGATGCACACATAAAAAAAAAAAAAAAAAAAGATCCACACGCACGATCCTGTGACCAGAGAACTTAAACCACACAACTGTTTTAAAACAACAGTTTCTCCTGCATCAACACACAGCAGATCCACCGTCAGAATCTGAAACAGATAGAAAGACAAAAATAAATGATTTTAACAGGAGCACAACCAGAAACATCATGCATACTGGCAGGCAGCTCTCCAAATATTTCACCAAAACATCACGCAGCTATAATTTACAGGATCTTGAAGGGAGCACATAAGACGAGATAAATCTCTTTATTCACAAAACAGAAAACAAGGAAAGCTGGAGAGTTGTGTGTACATTCCACATGACAAAACTCACATTCTGTACTCTGCATTTATATCTGTGTAGAAAATATAGTGCACTACAAATGACACTTCTTTGTCATTTTATTGCTAATTTTGAGCATTAAAGCATCTTTTGTCAAGTATAATGTACTGTCAGCTAGTCATAAAGCTTATAAACATTAAAGTTACTGTCCATGATAACTGTACAAATAGAGATCCCTCTTAACACTGCTGCTATGAAATAAACGCACAGACATGTAATATTGATAAGTGTTGAAATTATTTCATTTTCTCTTTTTGTAGATTAAACAGATTCTGCATAACACAGCAAACGACATTAGATATTACTGATCTGTCAGCACTGACACTATGTGACAAGATGATGTCATCACTGTTTTCTGCAGAGCTGCTTTATAGCAGAATTGGGCTAATTTAATAATTGATGATCTTTACAATGGAACTGAACTGACTTCAGCTGAACAATGACACTTTTTTTCTTTTTAGAGCTGCATTACAGTCGAATTGAACGATGTTTGCATTATTGAATCATTATTTGACTGATCACAGTAAAAGCTTCTTTGAAACAATCTGTATGAACGCTATAAAATAAAGGTGACTTGACAAACACGAATGAGCCAAAATATTGTTATTCATCACGCCAAGTTACTTTTTTCAACAGTCTAGTTTCTAGAGTAGTTTTGCGTTTTAAGTTCTCACCTGATGTCACAAACTTAAACTCGTGTTCGGATTCAACGACTCTCTCAGTGATTTTAGATATTGGGACAGAACATCTGCCTAGACAGACACGAAACACGAGAAGACTGTCATCTCACTATCTCTGTCTCCATCAGTCTCTGTGATATGAGCACATCTCAAATTACTACTAATGTGCCATATCAAATTTAAAGGAGTATTACATGTTATTTTTAAACATTTTTCCTCAGTTTATATAAACTAACATTTGCAGAAATATACTTAAAGGATTAGTTCACTTTTAAAACAACTTTTGCTGATAATTTACTCACCCCCACGTCATCCAACAAGATGTCCATGTCTTTCTTTCTTCAGTCGAAAGGAAATTACATCAAAAACATTGCAAGATTTTTCTCCATTTAATGGACCCCAACCGTTTCAAGGTCCAAATAAGAGTTTCAGTGCAGCTTCAAAGGACTTTAAACAACACCAGACGAAGAATAAGGGTCTTATCAAGCGAAAGGATCGGTCATTTAAAAAATAAATAAAAAAGTTTAAGTTTTATAAGCACAAATGCTCGCCTTGCTCTGTTCTGTGATGCATGTTTGTGACTCTCCTGTTCATCAAAATGAACGAATCTTTTTCGAGTCATTTCGTTAATTTCCTTCGTTGAATGAACCAAATGACTTGAAGAAAGATGTATTCATTTTGATGAACGAGTTCGAACAGGAGAAAGACCTTTGAAGCTGCACTGAAACGGTCATTTGGACCTTGAACCGTTTGGTTCCCATTAAAGTGCATCATATGGAGAAAAATCCTGGAATGTTTTCATCACAAACTTTAATTTCTTTTCGACTGAAGAAAGAAAGACATGGACATCTTGGATGACATGGGGTGAGTAAATTATCAGCAAAAGTGTTTTTTTTTAAGTGAACTACTCCTCTAAGATCAAGTTGACATATGTTTGAATGCAAGCATAACGTATTAAGAATAGATTGCCTTAAACCTCACTCTATGAAATAGACCAAAAATAAAAATCAACTTAATGGAAGCCAGTTTAGTCCAGGTTTTAGTTTTACAACAGAATAAATAACTTCAAACATTACTTCAAATGTGGATTTAAAATATTTTCTTTAATAAAGTTTTGTTTTTTCCTCAAGTATGCTGTCATTATTGCCCCACTAATTTATATTATAAAACGGTTAGTTCGAATCCTTGATTCTGATTGGTCAAGAGCTGTGCATTACTCATGATAAAACACGCCAATGACCACTTCACCCAACGGTTCTATTGATCACTGCGCAACACTGCGGGTCTGTGTTGTTTTTATTTGAGCTTTCATGCATTTTACACATTGGAACGTTGTTGCTGTTCACGCTCAGGGACTATTTTTTTAAGCGGAAGGAAGACTTTTAGTGATTTTACTTCAAGAAAGTTGCACTAATACATTGTTTTTTACTTTAATATTGTGTGGCAACCGTTTTATAAAAGCAATAAGGTACTCGAGGCAAGTGCTGTATCGTGAATCGCGTAACAACGTCCTTAAAATATTCTTTGTAGTTTGTGGAACTGCATACACAACAATGACATTCTCAGCTCTCTTGGCTGGACTTTATTAAAGTTTTTTCTATTGTAATAATAAAATAAAAAAAGTATTTTAAAAAAACGGCAACATGCAAAATGGCGTAGCGAGAAGACCTTGCATGAGAGAGAGACAGAGAGAAAAGGAAAATGTGCAGAAGTCAGGAGAATTCCACCCAACATCTGCTTCTCATTCCAACAATAGAGGCCTTTGATTCTCTCTCTCTCTCACTCACTCACTCACACACACACTCTGCTGCACTTCAGATGTGTAATGTTCATATGCATACATCAGATGACAATGACGTGGATTTTGGCTTTTCATATTATGGTTACGAGTTCATAAGGGATCAACTTTAACAGTTTTCTAGAAACATTGCATGCACAGTTGAAACTAAGCAGGGCAAACGGCTCAATAATGGCCATTAAATCCTATAATATATGACGTGACTGATTAAAGTTAAATTTTGAGGCCATTTTAATCTGGCATTGCTGAGTAGGATGAAAACAGAATGGAAGAGAGGATTGCATGATTCCACAATTTGTCAGGATGTGTGACGTTATGCGTGACGTTATGTGCGGCATTTCTTTGCTGAAAAGGAAGGAGAAACTTCCTGGATTTTCTTTTTGAGACTAATAAAACCCACATATGTATAAAGGTTCCCGTCACAGACTGTTATAATTTGCTACAGTATTACGGTCTATGTTACGCCTGTCATCCCTGTCATCCTGCTTTAACAGCTCGTTTTGCCTCAAGGGATCAAATCTTACCTTATCTTAAAAAACGACTGCTGAAGTGCTGGGCTTTAGCTTTTACAAGCAGTCTTACATCATCCACTGAGCCTTTACCTCTTGGAAACAGACAGAAAACCCCGATAGCAAAGTGAAGGAAAATTTACTAAGAAACATCTAGCAAAAAACAAAGCAACTAAGCAAGCTTGGAAGAATGAGTGGTAAGGAAATGCCACCGATAGGTGGAATCCACATGTCCAGACCTGCTCAGACACGGTTGGTCCACAGTTATTTAGTGTGATTCTAATCCCAGACACATTCCCCTTTTCCCATGCACTGAACTCTTTCTTCATGCCACAGTAGAAGACACAACCAGAGGAGTAGTTGGTCTTACATCATCGGAATCTGTACACCTGTTATTAAATTCATTGTATAAAAATCATTGAGGAAAGCAGATATGTTCTACTTAAACATAACACAAAAGATACGGAAAGTCTTTGAAAAGGGAGGGTTTAAAAATCACAGTCCAAAATAATAAAGGAGTAAAAAAGGAATCAGGAGTCAGTCAATTAAACCAGTGTAAACAGTCCAACTTGTGGTCATTTGATGTTTTATGCCAACTATGATACAGCTTTAAAACTGTTATTACTTATAGGGTGAATTCAGGTTGATAATTTGGGACACTTTTTGCCATTGGGAATATGTTTTAAATATGTAATGTGTTTTGCAATAATCCAGCTTCTAAATTAAATTTATGGCAAATAAAATAAAAGTAAAACTGAACAGATAGGCTATAGAATTTTTATTTATTCATTTTTTTTTTTTTTTTACTGTGCTTTGTAACTAACTATACAAAGATTTTGTTATGCAGCCTATTTTTATAATATAACAGTAGGCCTACGCAGTAAAAAAAAAAAAAAATCATAAGAATAAAAATTAAAACTGAAAATGAATGAAGGTGATAATTAAAAATATTGTGCATATTTTATTAAGAAATTGTGGTTTAGTGTTTTATTGAAAATACTGAGAACAATTCACTAATAAAACCAAGAGATAAATTTTCCTAATTTGTTTAAGGAAACATACACAGTTTTGAGGCTTGAATTGAGGAACTGATAAAGCTGATAAAATTAAGGGGGAAAAGGCTACCTATTTATTTTTTAAGAGAATTATCTCAATTATGCGGTTTTATTTAGACACCATTGTTAGTTCCGTGCTTTGCACATGGCTGGAAATGGAGAGTAAATATTGAAATTAAGTTTTATTTAATGTGTTTTTGAGAAAAGGGAAACATCTGTTAATGTTTAATGTTCAGTTAGGTTTGACATTTGAAAGTTTCTATTATGTTAAAGTTTTGATGGTAACCATTGTGCAGAAGAGTGGGGCTTATAGTTAGGTTGTGAATAACTGCATGTATTAATACTCTGAAGCATGATGCTTTATTCATTGAGCAATAACTTTGCTAATGATAGTGCAGTAACAAGTTTGTTGCTGTGCTAGCAGCAGTCTTTTATTAATATAACTCAGTCAAATAAAAACAGATCTCATTCACTTGTGTATTTTGATGAGAATAAAGGACACTTAAATTAAACAATCATACTTGACAAAAAAATATTAAATTCATTATGTCATAGACTAAATATATTTTCATTGAATAATTATTTAATAAAAATGTAATAATTTTTATTTAGGGGATTTAACATGATTTCTTCAGGTAGATTCCATGAAAGAAATCAAGCCTTAACTACTCAAAACAATTATGGTAACAATTACACAATATTTTTTAAGTAAACCGCAGTATA